TGAGGGGGGAGGGGAAGAATCAAAGATGCTGGAGCCGTAGAGGAGGGTCTGGCGGATTTGGCGGGTGCCGAGGACTTGGTGGGTGAGGTCGAGGGGGATGAGGGTTGTCTTTGGGCGGAGGATGGGGTTGGAGAAGATGAGGTGAGAGGCTTCCGGGTCGCACTGTGGGTGTGTGTTAGCGGTGGGTTGTGGTAAGTGTGGGAGGTGAGTAGGTTACATAGATCTGTGATGTTGTTAGCTTGTGGGTTCGAGAAGAATATGGTTGGGAAAGGTAGGTTTACGTTGAACTCGGCGTAGGGGGTCCAGTTGCCAAATCTCTCTCCTTCGCCTTCTACTTTACCCATTGGCGCATCTGTAAAGCCTCCGCCGACGGCTCCTCCCATGATGCTGAGGCCCTTGATGTGGCTTGCCAGATCCGGGTATTTCTGGAACAACAAGCCGATGTTGGTCAAGGTACCTGTGGAAACTAGCCAGGCGGTGTCTGGAGGGGTAGCAATGAGCGCCCGGTATGCGGCCTCGAGATGGTCTACATCCGTGGCTGCTGGCTCAACTGGCACTGGGAGCAATGTGACTCCATCTAGCCCGGATTCACCTGGGAATATCAGTGCGTGTTCACTAGGCTTTGAGTCGTGTAGGTACCATGGATGTCGGCTGCGTGTACAGCATCGCGGGCAATCGGCTTCGCTGCGCCAGAGTAGACTTTGACATCGCGTCTACCAATAGCTTCGAGTATCGCTCTGGTGTTGTAGGTCGTCTGGTCGAGCGCAGCGTTGCCGTGAACTGTGCTTACACCAAGTAGCTCGACTTGAGGGTCATGGGCACACAGAAGAAGTGCGTATGCATCCTGAGGCACAACGTTGAGTAACAAGCGGGCAGCGATGCAGCTATCACACACTTACATCATGGCCGGTATCCTTACAGGGCGAGGGTCAGTACTCGTGAGATGCGTAGAAGATAAAAGCAGGTACACACGCAGTCGAGCCAAATCGGGGTCGTGGAAGCAGTAGCAGACATAATGCACATGTACGTATATTGCAATTCGTTACCAATAATGACCAGTTTAGGAAGACACCTTGCACTACCTCTGGTACACTTGGGCGCCACACACGCCGCTTGGTCATGCACGACCGTGTTTAGCGGGGTGGCCTAGCCGTCTGTGTAGCAGATAGACCCATGCCTGTCGACGCTTGAATACAACGCCTCTTTATTCAAGCCCCAAACTTGCGCCCATAACCATACGACAACCCCAAAGCTGGGTTTCATGAAAACGCGGAACAAAAGGGCTGAAAGGTGGTAGAGTTGAACGAGGGGGGTTGGTACCTGTGTTGTCCGAGTATAGCATATTTCCCATTGGCTTATCGCGCTTTTTGGCGCCAGTTCGGTCAGCAAATACGTCCGAGTGGGAAAGTCTAGCCATCAACAACCCAACTCCGACTTGTGGCCGTGATCGTGACACGTACACAACAGCCAGAGTATATATCGTCATAAAAAAACAGCACTCCACATTGATTGTTTGGATCCGAGTTTTTTTTTGCTAGTCAAACCTCACCGCCAGAGTACGAGTTGTTGTTGCAATCTAGCCGAGGTTTCCGCCGTCGCGGCAAGTTCTTCTATAAAAGCTTACACCGCGTGCTTTGGACAAAAACAGTATGGATCTCCTCCGCCGCCACGAGGGTCACCACGAGGTGAAGACGGATCGGTACTGGGCTTTTGGGTACTACTTTGAAACTCTCGACGACAAGCAGAAGCACCAGCGCCGCGAGTATCTGGACTGGTATGGATTTGTTGCCCAGTGGTCGGTGCTGGTCATTTTTGCGCTGTTCCAGCTGGGCTTTGCCATTTCATGGGTGATCAAAAGTGGCTTGAAGTATGATCAGCCTAAATCTCCTTCCTTTGCAAAAAGCACAAACAATAGGTTGGGCTGGTTGAGAAAAGTGCACGGCGGGTGCAACAGGATCATATGGTGGATGCGAAAAGATACAATTAGGGGTTGGGCCTGGGGAACGAGAGGAGAGTGGATCGGTGCGGCTGCGTGGACAACATGGTTGCTGTACCTCTGCGTTGCGCACACTGGAAAAGGTATGTGAGATTTTCTTTTCGACCTTCATTTTTCTTGTTTGATTAATTAAGAGTAGATTACCTTCATCTGACGAAGCGGTTTGGGCAAATTGGCGCATCACAACTACCAATTCACTACCTGCTGGCCATGCGAGCACCATACAGCCCGGTGCAGTTTCTGACGCGACTCTCACATGAGCAGATCAAGAATTTCCACCAAATTCTAGGACGCATCGTATTGCTTCTGTTCCTGTTGCACACGGTATTCTATCTCAACTTCTTCATTTTGTCCGGCTTCATTGCAAAGCGAATCAAGGACTGGGACGTGATCTGGGGCCTCACCAGCATCATCCTCTTTTCCATCATCAGCACCACGGCTCTTGGGTTCGTGCGGAGGAGAAACTACCGCGTCTTCTACATTTCACACATTGCTATTGCAAACTTGATTATTGTGCCGCTCTTCCTTCACGTATCGCATCTCCGCGTCTACGTGTATGAGATTATTGCGGTAGAGGTTCTACATCTCATCTTCCGCGCTCTGCGTCTCAAGACGTACCAAGGCACTATCAAGCTTCTCCCTGGTACCAATCTGGTGCAGATTCGCATTCCATTACCATCGGACAGCAAAGCTCTAACCTGGAAACCTGGACAGCATGTGTACCTCAGCAAGCCCGGGAATCAAGGCAAGACTCCCAAATGGTACGATCAAATGCTCGCTATTAACAAGACAAATCCATTCACGATTGCATCTCTCCCGTCCAAAGACAAGGAATTACTACTGATTGCGAGGACGCTCAACGGCAACACGAAGTACCTTGCAGAGCTTGCGCGATCTCTGGCACAGGGGGGCAGCAGCGTACCCATGCTACCCACAGCAGGCGGCGACATTCCAATATTGCCACTGACTCTCGAGGGGCCTTATGGCGGATCGACCCGGCTGCCAGACCTGTCAAATTATGACAGAGTGCTTTTGGTAGCTGGTGGCGTTGGGGCAACATTTGTTATGCCAATCTATCGGAGCATTCGCGAGCTTCACAGCCTCACGCCTACAAGCACGCAGATCCGATTCATATGGGCAGTGCAGAAGCTTGTCGAGACCCAATGGGCATTCCCTGCAAACACGCAATCTGGCGATAAGCAGATAGACGATGAAAATGACGATGATGATGGCGGTGCAGGGGTGCAAGCCAACGGAAATGGGCTGCTGCACGGACCGAGCAACGTGGAGGTTTACGTGACACGGCCGTCGGGACCAAATCTGCAAGTCAATGCGAATGCGTCTGGTGGCGCGTTCGCCGTTGATTCAGATGACGAAGACGGCGAGGCGATTGAAATGCAGGAGAACGAGCAGCTGTTGAGTATGGAGGAGCAGATGGAGAAGCCACGCAAAGGCATGTCGATCAAGAGTGGGAGGCCCGATCTCAGGGGAGTTGTAGACGAGGTGTTCAGCAAGGGGGTGCGGAGTGCTGTGATTTGCTGTGGTCCCAAGCGGATGACGGACGATCTAAGGAGGAGCGTCGAAGTATGGGTGAAGAAGGGCCACGATGTGTTTTGGTACGATGAAACGTTTGGCTGGTAGTGATGATCGCGTCCGGTTCATAGCTTGGATTCTTTGGAGTTCCAGACTGAGCATCAAAGACAATTTTTGATGGTGATCATCTTGTCTACTTCAACCCACCGTCGACCCGGCCGTTGGGCGCGGGTCGTGGGTCGTCCCATGGGCTGGCCATGCATCCTTCCGACGGGATGTTCCCTGGTGCATGGCAGTGTGTTTATGCGTGCAACCAAGTATGTCGATATACCTCCTATACTTATACTCGCAAACTTTGCAGTCTTGTGCCGGCGTCTGGTGTGCTGCCTAAGCACTACTACCTTTGCTTAACTCTAAGCAGACGAGTCCCACTGGCCTCGACGCGGAACCCTGGGCCGTTGCCGCAGACTATCTTGCCAGGAACGGGAAAGGCGCAGGGAGACGGAAGCTTGTCTGGCAGTTTTGTGCATTGGGCAGTCGGCGTGCACAACACGTGCAATAATAACCAGACGGTTCATGCTGCAGCGCCGTGAGTCTGTCCGGCGACCGGGTCTTGTTACACGATGCTGTTGGTGGTAGTGGTGGTGGTGGTGTTGGTGATGAGGCGCGGCCAGGGAGATGGCCACAGGGGGGGCGCCAGAAGGAGTTGCGGGCAAGGGAGTGCGAGTACGGATTGCGGATTTGCTTCTTCACGACTCAATCAATAGTCGATACAGCCATGCCGTCGGCTCCCAGGAGTTGCTGCTCCTATGACGGCCCCAAGGCCACTTTCGGAGCCAGGGCCGCAGATTAGTCGAGGCCCGAGCAGTCTTCTGCCAAGCACGAATCGCCCTGCTCCCCGGCTCTGAGCGCTCGACGGCGCTCTCCAAGCTCTCCAGTCCTCTCTCCTCCTGACGGGGCTCCCTCATCCCGTCGCGCCTTGCTCACGCATTTCTTGTTTGCAGCTGCTGGAACGCTGAGCACGCGACGTCGACCCTTCAATCGCTACCCTTCTCCTTTGCCCTCTCCACTCTCACCACCCACACCACCACTGTACACTATTTTTTCCTTGCAATTGTCCCCCTTCACTTTAGTCCGTTGTCACCACTCAACGGCCGGCCCTGCAGGGAATCTGCTTGCAACGCGCATCCAAAGCACCGCCCCTCGCCGCCTCGGACCCGTGTGTCCCCACACCCACCACGTCTTCTGCTCCTGCTCGCCCATGGCGCTTTGCTGGTAGTCACGAGTGCTCCATAGTAACGAGCGCCCACCGCCAAACCCCCGTCGTCTCCTGGCACCCTCGCCTCATTCCCCGGGCGTACAGGCTGGCAGCGCCTGCTGTCAACGTCAACATCGTCACTCGCACCTCCTTCCCCCCGGGTCCTTTCTACCTTCCACGCCGCCTCCCTCCTCGACTTCTGCACCACCGTCTATGGCTGCTCTCGCCTCCTCTCGCCAGACAGCAGCCCCCATCCAGCAGCTGACACCGCCCAGCAGCTCTCACGGCGGACGGGGATCCTGGGATTTTGCTGTTCCCGTCAACGGCTTGGTGCGTACTTATTTCCCCTTTGCTGCCACCATGTCTCACAACACATCAAACACTTGTCGCCCTCGCACTAGATGCGCTACTGCAGCGCTGGACCATGGTGCTTCCGCTTCGCCAAGTCTGCCCACTTGCCACATAATTCCCGCTTTCACCAATGATGTCAGTGCATGGACTAGCCTGCTAACCGCGTGCACAGCGAGAGTCGCTTGACCAAGAACACCACATGTCCGAGTACGGCGCCTTCACCCACGGTGCCCATCAGTCCTACAGCTCGCAGGCCAACGGCTTTGCACAGCCCGTACGCTCGCCTACGTGGGGCTCCCAAGATCAGGGCCCATCTCAGCCCGTTTCCGATCGCGTCGACGAACTGCACAAGAAGAAGAGCGGGGAGATGATTGCCAGCAACACCGACCAGGACAGTGTCTTGGAGTACTACAAGACCCACACCAACAACAAAAGAGGCCCCTCCAGCATCAAGGGAAAGCCCAAGAAGAAGACTTCCAAGGGGGGTCAGTCGGACCCTGAATATGACGAAAACAACTGGATTCACCGAGACAAACTCAAGGAGATTGAAACTCGAGAACTAGAAGAGGCCGGCTTCAGGGTCGGGCGATCTAGCAGGTCCAACAGTCGTTCGCAAAGCGCAAGCCGGCGTGCACGGGACCGCACAAACTCGGAATCGACCGAACAGTCAAAGAACGGCGATGAGCGATCCGAGCCGAGGAAACGTGTGTCCACTATTCCAGCGGGCGACGAGGAGGCGTACGAGAACCACCCCACTACGAGCCCAACACCCCAGGACGAGACTGTCGAATTCCAGCCCACGTCTTCCAAGGCGAACCACACTGTGAGACCTAGTACGTCTCGCATTCCCCTGCCCAAGACGAGTGGCATACCTGTTCCTTCTTCGGTGGCAGACCGCGATGCGCCGCTTCCTAGGTCAAGGGCAGGAAGCACCCACTTGAACGGGGAGTCCATTGCTACAATGGGCGCGCGCGTCCGCAGTGGCAGTGTAGGTAGCCAGGTGCTGCTTGACGATTACGACGATGGACAAGAGAGGATGCTGCATCATGGCCACAGGCGCAATACTTCCACCGGAAGCTATTCTCCGCCAAAGTCACCGCAAAAGTCGCCTGTCAAAAAACCAGCGGGCAAGCAAAACCCATCTGCATCGCGAAAAACCAGCGTCCAGAAGAAGCAGACCAAGTCTCGCACTACGTCCAGCACTTCACCTCCTAATAAGCGCCCTGGTACAAGCGGCGGCATGGCGACACGCCCTACTACTGCCCACCGACCAGAAGGAGAGGCACCGTGGATAGCATCCATGTACAAACCGGACCCGCGTCTTCCTCCTGACCAACAGATTATCCCAACTCATGCGAAGCGAATGCAGCAAGAGCAATGGGAGAACGAGGGTAGAGTTGGCTCAATGTACGACAAGGATTTCCGCCTATTGAACGATGATCCCATGATGAGCAAGCGACTTTCACAACTTGCCAACCTCGACCCCATTGCTATTGAGAAGGCCCGGGAAGAAGAAGCATGGCCCCTTCCTAGCCCCACAAAGCAGGAGTCCTCGTCAAATGAGAAGGGCGACACCAACACTGCCAAATCTCCAACCATGGAGCAAAGTGCTTACAAGTTGACTCCAACAATACCTCAAGGAGTTGATCGTGCTCCTTCGCCCAAGTTGGCCCCCCCTATCCAACCCGCACAGCCAAAGCCTGAAGTCACTCGAGTATCTGAGCCAAAGGAAGAGGTCAAGGAGAAGAAGGGCTTGTGCTGCATCGTCATGTAGCCTTCTCGCCTTGCGTTCCCTTTCATTTCCCTTTTTTTTCGTACTAACTGCATCCAAAAACTGGTTTCCTTTTGTGTATGGCGTTATTGGCGCACAGCTTCGGCTGGGCGGCCCACATTCGACTCTACTTTCATTCATTCCCCTGTGCAGACCTGGGCTGATAGCGTTTCAGCGACTTGTTTCCATTGTCATTTGTCATCTCATTCCTTTCACTTTTGGTTCTGCGTACCTTTTTCTATCCCGTTGGCGGACGTATTCTCTTCTAGGTTTCAGGACCCATACATATATGAGCATATCCACATGGCATACAGCCGGTATTTCCTTTTTCTCCTTTCATTACAGACAGACGGACTTCAGGTGTCCAAGACTAGCAATGGTCAGAGAGGGAGATGTGTTTCGTTAGGGGCGAGACATGGCTTCGGCAGGTCCAAGCACAAGCGACGAAGCCTTGTCAGGGTAGTCGAATTTATAGATTCATAATGATATCAGTCATGCAATCTTGACTCGCTGCATTGACTTGCTTTGTGGACTGAGTTTGATAAGTATGAAGTGCGTACAGGGATCAGAGATTTCTTACTCGTGCTTACGCCGAGATGATGATGACACCAAGCTATCATGGGCCGTGGGATTCTTAGTTGCTGTAAAGTAATGATGTAGGGATTCAGTTAGCAGGACTAAAACTCACGGCCATGTTGGAGATGAACGTCACGTGATATGGGTCACTAGCCTCTCGCTTGTCAGACCTCCACGCAAACGAATTTTAGCTTCGGCGAATCGCTAAACTTTTCGATCTTCCTCTTTATCATCACCATCTACTCTTCGAGGAAAACCCGACAGATATAAATCATACATCATGGTATGCAACCCCCCTATACATCATCTGCAAGCGCCATTGGAAGCGCCGCTAGTAACCAGCGACGTAATCCAACAAACTGCGCAGCCCAGCCCCTCTCGCTCGTACCCCGCGAAATGTCGCTGACCCCAAATAGTCGGACGGAGAAGACGATACCAAGTCCCAAGTCAGCGCGGCCGCCGAGGTCGAGGTCTCCGCGGATGCGTCCGGCGGTAAGGGCCAGATGAGCGTGCTCGAGGCGCTCAAGGGCGTCCTCAAGCTCGCTCTCATCCACGACGGCCTTGCCCGCGGTCTGCGCGAGGCGTCCAAGGCGCTCGACCGCCGCGAGGCGCACATGTGCGTCCTCAACGAGGCGTGCGAGGAGGAGGCATACAAGAAGCTCGTTGTTGCCCTGTGCTCCGAGCACAAGATTCCTCTGATCAAGGTTCCTGATGGCAAGCAGCTCGGCGAGTGGGCTGGTCTCTGTACGTTTTTTTCTTTCCCTTTCCCTAGAATGTGGAGGGGATATCATGTGGCTAACAAAGCATGTCAAATAGGCCAGATTGACCGTGAGGGCAACCCCCGCAAGGTCGTCAACTGCTCTTGCGTCGTCGTCAAGGACTGGGGTGAGGAGTCCCAGGAGCGCAGCATCCTCCTCAACTACTTCCAGACCGAGCAGTAAACGTCCGTATCTCGTTTTCATATGAGAACCACGACGGCGTCCTATGCACACTTCGACGGCCTCGACCTCTTTTTTTTTCCAACTTTTTCCCTCACGCAATGGTCAAGAATCTTCGGCTGCTCTCTGTTCCGGTTTTCCGTGTCGGGCATGGCTATGGAGTTTTGATGGGGAAATGTGAAAGGGGTGAACGATATGTGATGGGCTGTATGGAATTAGACTGGCCTCTCTTTCGTCTTCTTGAGGAGAGAGCCGTGATACCAATTGAGAAAGGATTCAACGTATTTTTGCTGTGTGCCACTTGTGTTCTGATGTTTGATTGTTTGATTTATTTTTTTTGATTAACCGACCCCACGTGTGTTATAAAGGGGTTTTTTTCCCCCGTCCTGTGGTGGTAAGTTACTCTATGGGCATGTACTGTTCCATAGTAGCCAAAATGCCAGATCTTCTAGTAATAGACAGATGTAAAAAAAATATTTCACCAATAATTCAACACATCATCTCGTACAGTCGTGCTCTCTCTCTCTCTCTCTCTCTCTCTCTATATATATTCTCTTCTCCCTCATAATATTTAACATCCACGCAAAACACCAGTCGCTCTCCTCATTCTTCTTCCCCTCGAAGAAGAAGAAGAGGACATCCAATTGTATATATATGTATATGCTACGCTATGCAAGGTCCAAAATCTCAAAAAAAAACAAGAAACAAGGATAGAGAAGAAGAAGAAGAAAAGAAAAAAAAAAGACCATGTCTCAAATATGCGATTTCTTTGTATTTCATTCCCCCATCCACCCCTTCCACCAAACTCTCATCTCTCACATCCATCTATTTCCTACTTCAAAAACAACAACAACATCATCTACCTTCCAACTACCCTCCCTCACCAACTTTCCCCCCCCCCCCAACATCGATCCTTTCAACACACACACGCACACAAAAAAAAAGGGTCAAGTAAACCCTACACATCCCTCACTCTCCCCCTCGGAATCTCCGTCTCCACCATTTCCAACCCACTCAAACTCGGGTAACGCTTACTAAACGTATCGACATCGAGCTCATCAGCATGCTGATTCACCAACGACGACGACGAAGACGACGGTAGGGGTTTGTTGTTGCCAGTGATGATATTATCCTTTGCAGCAGAAGTCTTGGTAGGAGAGGTAGATCCCAAGAGGGGAGAAGAACCAGGTGTACCCGTTTGCAGGGCTTTTGGTTTGGGCGGGGCGCGGGGAGGCGGGCCAGAAGGATTGCGCATGTTGTTGATTGTTGGGGGGGCGGATGCAGAGGGAACGGGTGGAGGCATGTTGGGTCGGATTGAGGAGGGTTTGGTGTAGGACATGTCTGGTTGCTGCTGGAGCTGAGGAGAAGGCACGTTTACAGGTTTACGGGCGATGACGGGAGGTTGAGTGCGGGAGGGTGTGCCGCTTTGGTCCTGGGGTCGTAGGGGCAAGGGTTTGCCGGTGTCGGTGTATTTGCCGTAGCCTTCGGCGGTGCGGTTGGTGGGGGTTGGTTTGCTGCTTTCGTCCAAGAGGTTCTTGACACGGTCTTGGATGGTTGAAGCTTTGGATGGGCCGGGCTTTACTTTTCCTTGGGCCTGGGATGCCACTCGTTGCTTGTACTCTGCTGCTGCGGCTTCTACGCGGCGTTCTTCCTCTGCCAATTGTCTCTTTTCCAACTCCCTTCGGACCTCTGGTGACAGGTCTTGCGTTTCGTCAATGGCGCTGCGGTCATCGTCGCTTAATCCACCTGTGGTCTCCGAGCCAGCAATAGGGGTCAGGCCACCCTTGGAGCTCAGGTGTTGGTGATCGACTGGGGTCAGAGGCGGCTGATCACGCTCATGCTCAGGTGTCTTGTGGGTTGTCTCAAAACGCCGGAAAGCATCGCCAAACTTGCCCTTGACAATGTTGGTCAAGCTTCCGCGTTTGCCGTGCTTGGAGTGTGAACTGCTGCGGCGATGCTTGTGGCCATGCTCTTCCTGCTCGATGCTTCGGAGAAAGTCTACGCTCGATCGGACATTGATTTCTTCAGGCTCTGCATCATCTACTGCATTTGAAGTTGTACGGCGTAGCAACGATGGAGCATCGAAGCTGCGACCGCCCGCCATTTCTCGATCACGTAGATAGTCGAGGTTCGACTCTACGTGTATGCTGACTGGACGCGAATTTGAGTTTGCAGACCTCGATCGATCTATAGCAGACCCAAGCTCCATGTTTGATGGGCGCTGGCTCTCCAACGAGGGCCTTGCCGATGCAGGTGATCTCGGAATAGTGAGCTGAGACTTTGATCTTGATTCCAGCACTGGGCGCGGGGGCAAAGCGAAATCAGGCTTTAGTGCTGGACTGGAAAGAGGGCTTGGCGGTGGTTTTTCAAACGAGCGCGTATGGCTCATGGTTCGGCTGTGTTGCGAGGTCAGAGGAACCTTCCAGATTGGGCGGCTGTTGACGTCTGGGTACTTTTGTGAAGGAACGGGAGATGCCCGCGGAGATGTTTGCACGCCAGTAGATACCATGTTGACTCTCTGTGGAATGGGCTGCTGTATGCCCTGGTTGTTGGTAGAATGCGGGCTATCATTGGTCTCACGGGGCGCAGATTTCCTTAGTGATGTAGATCTGGAAATGCCCGCTGAGGAGACAGTCGAAGGCTTCACTCCAGGTGTCGAGTCGACAGCTGGGGGTGAAGGAGATGCAAAGGCTTCGTCTGCCAGTGCTTCTGTGACCCGCTTGGACAGTGCCGGGTCAGAAGATGTAGGCGCTTCGCCAAATTCAAACTTTTGGCCACGATCGTGCAACAGGGAAAACTCGTCCAGCGAGGGAAAGCGAGATGCAAGCTCGTCGGCAGCAGCACGCCTCACTTGGACATCTTGAGAGTCTAGTGCCGCAAAGGGGTCTGAGGTAGTTCCCCTTATAGGCGATGGGCTGGGCCTGACTCCTGGTGGGGGTTGGTCTGTTGGTCCAGTAGGCCGTCCTCTCCTCATTGGCGTTATATCTGGCAACTGTTGGACCTGGACAGTGGGAGCAACTCTTTGCAGACCCACGACAGGAGGGGGTGTAGAGACCTGAGGCTCCGAAGGAGGTAGCTGCTGGTTCTGGCGGGTTTCTGATTGGGTCCTGCCAGTATAGATCTAGCATGTCTTAGCAGCAGACAGTCGAACCAGTATCTTATACATACGTCTTTGATGGGAATTGGTCGGTGGCGCATTGAGCAGACTTCGGCAACGACCTGGTAAATGTTTGGTCGATGCTGGGGGTTTTCGCGCAACATGGAACCTGTTTCAAAGGGTTAGCCATGGCAAGAAGGCTATTTCTTACAGCCCTACACACCTATGAGTGCCTTTATGCGGTCTGAAAACTGAGGGTATGCCGGGTATTTGAACGAGGCATTCAAAATGGCCATTTGCCCCACCTCTTCAAAGGGCGTAGTGTAGTAGCACAGTTTGTATAGCAAGACGCCCAGGGCCCAGATGTCGCTCTTTTCGTCGATTGGCTGCTTGCGGTAGACGTCAATCATTTCGGGACTGCGGTACTGGAGGGTGGTGTGGCGTTGGACGTCTTCTTCAATCAGCCTCCCTTCAGCGGCAGTCGAGGCGGGTGGGCGCGGGGGAGCAGTGGAGCCAAAGTCACAGAGCTTGTATACTTTGTTGCCGCCGACGGTGGTGATGAGGACGTTTTCGACCTTGAGATCACGGTGGAGGAGGGGTGGTTTGAGGTAGTGCATGGTCGCAACACCCTCGACCACATCGGAAAATATGTGCAGGATCTCGGGCTCTGTCAGGCGGTGCTGCAGCCTGGTGTTCATGAAGTCGATGAGGCCACCGCCCGAGCAAAACTCCATGAGCAGGAAGACCTCGTATCCGCCCGACTTGAGTTGGGATGCATGCGAGTCCATGTAGGTAACGATTTTGCTGTGGCCCTTGAGCTTCTTCATGGTCTCGACCTCTGTGCGCATGTTTGCGAGGGCGTCCTTGTCCGCACATGCCACGCGCTTGAGGACTGCAGTCTCTGGCGTCTTTGGATCCGACTTTGGTACGCGGACGAGGTAGACGTGGGCAAAGCCACCCTCGGACAGGTACTTTTCGATTGTGACGCGGTGGTTGCCGACCTGGACTTTTGTGCCCGGGGCAAAAGTGCCCGGGGGCGCATTGGAGACGGCAACGGGGCCTGGGGCGCGGTATGCGGCCTGTTGGGCCATGGGCATGGCGTGCGAGGGAGCATAGCGAGCCGACGACATGATGGGCGGTGAGGAAGGCTGCAGCAGAGCAGGCAGAGGACGGGGAGGCTATGTGTTTGGCATCGAGAAGACAGGCAGCAGGACAGGGCGGGCCAGCAGGTGGCGGAGGGGCAGGAGAGGTGTGGTGGTGAATAGAGGTGGCATGCGCCCGAGATGGGTGTAATGGGGGAGCGAGGGTCGTGAACGGACCCCTGCAAGCTGGTGGGCATGGGCAAAGCCACGGTTGGGCAACGTCACAGTTCATGTAAGTGTATGTGTATGTATGCACATGTGGGTGGGTGTGTATATTGTCTAGCCGGTCCATGACATGTCCTAGGGCCGGCATCCCAAGTCACGCACTGCTCGACAGGTGCTGGTGGGCTGGCCAGGCGCGAACCCGAGGGCTGCCAGTGCGAGAGAAGCAACATGACCATGGCTATGTGTCGCCAAGCCCCACGACCAGTTTCACTCGCCGGCTCCTGATTGGGCCGGGCCGTGGCAGCCTGACGGCGTGAGGCGGTGGAGAGGTGGAGAGGCATGATATGGACGAGTCGACTTGGAGTAGCAGATGAGGTGTCTGTGTCTACTGTCCATGTACGTGTGCATATCCATCCATAAATCCACCCATACACGGTACATGGCACCCAAGTAGTCTTTGCTGCCAACGTGTTTAGCACCACGATGCTGCTGCTGCTGCTGCTGCTGCTGCTGCTGCTGCTGCTACTACTGTTGTTGAGCCCTTTCGACACGTCGCCGGATCCACGCTGCAGGCAAGGCAGGCCGGCAGGCAGGGCAGG